TGAATAAAACAAAACACAACAAGGTATGTTTTTGTTGAGGAAACAACTTTATAACATAGATCATAAAATAGCGTGATATGAGCGCTTTAAGGTTACGATCGGTCACAAGCAAATGAATGCAAGTCAATGCAATGTCCCCAATAAGCGTGGAAACCCAATATGTGTGTGAATATGTGTGTGGCATCTGGGCTGGTAACTGTTGGCAGATGGAGCAGACTGCGGGTATATGAAGAAGGATAAACTTTGACTAAGACAGCAGCGATGCAAGCCACTCGGGGAACAGCAAAGCCACGCACGCACTACTTTCTCTTCAGTTATTCCTTTTGGATTCAGCTACGATAGACTCTGAATTTTAATACAAGAAAGCACAAAAATCCAAACTAAATTCAATATTTTTCATTCAATGCTTTGTCTCTTCACCAATCACCTCTCAAGATGTTCATATGAATGCATTTTTCTCCATTTCAGCAACATCCCTATTTCAACTCCACCACAGCAGTAGAACCATCAACCATCTCGTTCTTTCCCTCCTTCCAAGTATGTACAATTCATTTTATACATCAAAAACATACCTGAAGCTGTGGTTTGTTTCATTCACACATGTTTGAGTAATCCTGCAGTATTAGTCAGTTTACATCTCCAAATCTCTGCTCTGCTCCACCTTGTGATATCGTGTAGTTGTAGTTTTCAAGTTAACAGCTACATTTTACTTTTAGTTCAGCAGAGACTGAGAATTCCAGGGCTGAAATTATCCAAATGATTCTAGTGAAGATGTATGGAGTTTAAAAACACAATAGAGCTTTTCATGTATTACCACATGAGATCACAAGTTGCAATGGAATGTTTTCTGTTTGAAAGAAGAACTCAGCCTAAATATTCAGAATTTGTGTGTTAAACGTGTGAATGAAACAAAACACAACTCCCGTGATTCATTTCAGTGCAGACAATATGAAGAGATATATTTTTTATTTGAATTCTTGAGATTATGATGGTAATAATTCACACCAAAGTCTTGTCAAGGTATTTTAAAAGCAAAAAATTTCCCATCTGCAATTCTATTAGCCTTTCCAAAATATCTTAATAAATATCGTACCGTGAGATGGATATCGTGACGTTATTGTACCGTGAGATTTGGATATTGTTACATCCCTAGAAAATAGCCTAATGTAGACCCTTTAAGACAGTTTTTGTATTGCTCTCTTTATGTACGTATTACTATTTAAATTTTATATGAGAGAACTTCTTTGTCAAATCACAATCAAAGTATTTGACTAAGGGCTGTTAGTTAGTTAGTTAGTTGACTCCATCTCATGTTAGTTATTATGTGAATGTACTACTAATTCATATTTACTTAATTACAGACACACTTGCCTCCTTTATTTATTCAAAACCAGGACAAATGTAGTCACAGTCTCAGGCAGAAAAGATGCTCTGTGCCAGATTTAGCTACAAGCTATTTTCCATCTGCAGTCCTTGGGCAGGTACAAAAGACATCTAACAACATTTCCTCAATAGCAGTGTCTCCTTAAAATAACCACAGTCTAATTCACCATTAAACATTTAAAACAGCCAAACTTCATTAAGACTAGTAAGAGTAGTTTTCATTCAGTGCTGACAAGAACTGTGATACAACCCAACTCTTGAATTTTATGTAAGTCCGTCGTCTATTTTTCAACATTAAAGAGACTGTACCTGTTCTTTCACCTATGCCTCTCCACCACTCTGTCTCATTTCCTACACCCCTCTACGATCTGCATCTAATTAAAGCATTTGTTTGTCTGCGAATCAGGAAGTATGGCTGATTTGCAGTTAGGATGCTAGTTGTTGATGACAAAATTTCACTCTGGCCTTTAAAAGTTGTGAAAAGCAATAATAAACTCAGTGCTGTGAATTATTAGAATGCTAGGAATACCTTAGGAAAGTGAATAATACCTTTGGAACGCTGGAAACCATTTAAAATGATAGTTCTGTTTATCACATTTTTAAGACAGTAAAAATCAGGTACAGCACCTTTCAAATCTATCTTGTCCAAATTGCATGTTAATCTCATCTGTTTTTCATGTATACTTGGCTTTGTCAAACCCAAAGCACGTCTCCAGTCATCTAGCATCTGTTTACCTTTATGAAATGACTGCAATTTATAGGGCTGTGAGCAGATTTGGACAGGGGCTGTTTAGAAAGGGGTTATACATCTCCTAAAACAGTTGTATATTTACAGGCAGCAGCCCCGGGGTCACTGAGGTGGGTTTACAACCTGAAGGCTGCCAGTAAACTGTCTCAATGAGGTTTCGGAGAGCATCAGTCCTACATAATGCTCTATTATTATTTAACAGTGCCAAGTGTCTGCATGGAGCTGAAGTTTCCAGCAGCATAACATGGTTTTCTAAGTGCTCTTAACTGCATCATATAGTGGATTTATGTAAACATGGTGAACAGTCAAAACAGAATTATAAGGAAAAAAGGCCTTAGCCGAAAGCAGAGGCCGATATTTTGTTTGGCCTGACCAGCTGCTTAAAGAATATGCATAAAGCTTTATTTGAACACTTCGACACAGCACTAAATGTAACTACACTGCTCTCCTGCCCAGTTTGTATTGAAATATGGGTGTGGATGACTTTGTTGTAAATTGAAATTACATACTTTGGGGAAAATAATAAAAATTGGCTGTACATATAATATACATACATATACATATAATATATCAGCCTAAAAAAATATCCTTACCTTACTGCCCATCGGTTTATATGGATTCTAAACAATCAGTATCTACTGTGAAAAAAAACATTGATTGCTCTCTAAAGTAGAAAGTCAAGACAGAAAGAGACAACATAACTTGTCAACCCATTCAATTAATTAATTACTTGTTATTTTCAAGGTACATTTTTGACCAACAAACAATATCAATAGTGACACAATAAAAAATAATCAAACAAAATGGGACTATTCCTGAATTCATGAACTAATCTACCGCACATCAGAGCTAATAAATTACCACACTGCAATGCTATCATTTTGTGTTTTCAATGATCCTTGTGGTATCAAAATTGGTATCAGACATTTTCTTTGATAAATAATCTTGAAATTTTAGAAACTACACTAGTTGTCCAGATAAATGGCTTCAACATCAAGTGCATCCGCATCCTGACCACTAAATGAATGTAAAAATGTAATCAAATCATTTTGAATAGCTTCTTTATTTATCTCTCTTCTATTTATTCATTTGAGTTCATAATAAGTCTAACCACGTCGGATTAAGCTAAGGAGTCTTTTTGCTAGTCCAAATCCCCCCCAAAAATGAAGTGGGTTGCATGTTTTATTGCATTATTCATCTTTAAAGCCTGACCTCCCTTATCCCCCTACATCATCTGTTTGGTCTGGTGAAAACTCCTCAGCTGGCCAAGTTCAGAAATACACTGATTTGGTCAACGATATCTGGAAGTATTTACAAAGTTGTATAATTAGATCAGTGGCTTGGGTCTGCAATGGAAAACATTCACTGCAAAATGTAATGAAAGAGACGAGTAGATGAAGTAAAAACGGGCACACTTTATACCAAAAACAGCTAATACCGCAAGATAATTACGATATGGAAAGTCAGTCAAGTCCAATGGCATTTTTAGTTATGCCAAAAATCCTCCATCTTAGTCTGACTTCTTTTGTTTAGTCTTCACTGTAACCTCCTGACCCTACCAAATCCTTCAAACCTGAGCTTATCTAAACTGGTTGACACAAGTAGCAGCAGCAGCCTCCCACATTAGTCAAACTCCATCCTACCCTGTGTAAGTAAGAGGCTTCCAAGCAGTTGGGATAGGCATTTCCTGGAGGAGGGGGCGGCGCTACGGAGAGGAGACATTCTTGGACCAGGCACCTCCATGTCCTGTTAACGCCTCAGTTCTTTTCACTTGCAGAGTTGACTCAAGTTAAGGATGGAATCTGGAGGGATGCATACAGGCAAGACAAAGCAAGAGTCAGAGGTTTAGATAAGAAAAGGAGCATGCTGTAATGTTATGACAAGAGTGGTGGGTGATTATTTTTGTGTATTTACTCACAAGTTCAAGCTTTGTTGCAGTGTGGGTTCCTCTATATTCTACTCACTTTTTGTGGTTATTTCAAGCCACAAGCAAGATGAGGTTCATAAACAGTTGGCATGAGAAAGCAAAAGCAGCAAAATCCAAGCAAAAGAAGCCAACATGCAGTGATTCATGTCAGCATTGTTATATATATATATATATATATATATATATATAATGAAGCGTTAAAGTGTTAAGATTTAAAGGGCCCAGATTACGATTTTATCTGTTATTATAAAATTGCTGCCTTATCAAAAACATACCTGGAGTTGTGTTTTGTTTCATTCACACATTCAACTCACAGATCCTGCATATTCAAGCACAATTCTCCCCAATGTAAAACACTCCACCTTGTGATTTCATGTAGTAATACAGGAAGTGCTCCGTGGTGTATTTTACTCATTTGGACAATTTCAGACATGGAATTGCCAATCTCTACTGAATAAAAGGTAAAAGGTAGCTGTTAACTTGAAAACTACCAGTACATGCCATCACAAGCTGGTACAGAGCTGGGACACAGTGCTTTTAGATGTAGACAGACTAATAATTAAGGATTATTCGAACATGTGTGAATGAAATAAAACACAACTCCTGAATGTTTTTGAGGTGAGAACAACCTTAAAACATTGCTTAAAGCTCACAAGAGTCAATTTTGCATGTCTTCTTCAAGATGTCTTTGCTTTGTTAGGAATATTCCACAGTATGGCTTTAAACTGTTTAGCATTTATTTTAATGTATTTATTTTATTAGTTGTACTTCCAGTTACAGTGGTGGTATTGTGCCGACAAAGTTAGTTGACAACTCTTTTTTTAGGATGTGCTCTTCAGAATTGTTCCGTTTTATGCGAATCTCTCTGCTAAAGGAAATATTTGTGTAACTCTGCTGACCCCTTGTGGCTACCTCTAGAAAAGACAACACTTCACTCCTGTCAAATTGTTAACAAAATACATCTTTAATCAAATGTTTAGCATTTTAAACAATGAAACAATGAACATTTGGTCCTTAACATGAAAATATGTTACCAGTAAAGTAGCCTGAACTAGTGCCTAGCCAACTACATTTATTTTTTCTTGTCAAATAGAGAATATAACAGCTCAATCTGCTCAGCATACTCAAATCCTGGTCTGCAAACGAAAAACAAAATCAAAATGAATTAACATAGTAGATATGTGTAGCTAAGTTTCTTGGTCTATATACTGTAAATAATGTGGGTAAGTAGTAGTTAATTTACCGTCCAGGAGTTTCCAGAATTAAGGGAATATTATCCAATCTGGGTTCGTTCACAATGTCCCGGAAAGCAGGGATTCCAATGTGACCTTTGCCAATATCTTCATGGCGATCAAGGTTGCATCCAACTTTACCTGCACAAAAATTCCAACCAGAAGATTTAGAGGTCCTGTATTACCTTGCACCTTTTGTTCAATAAAGCAATTCTAGAAATTATCGAAAATGTATGAAGTTTAAAAACACACTGCAGCACTTCCTTTACTACCACATGACATTGATGAGTGTTTTCTGTTTGGAAGAAAAACTCAGCTTAAATATGCAGGTTTTAAACATGTGTGAATGAAACAAAATACAAGTCCGGATATGTTTTTGATGAGGAAACAACATTCTAACATAGATCAGAAAATAGCATAATATGGGCCATTTATAAATTATTATCCAACGATGATGTGGTTTTACCTTTAGAGTCATTGAGGTGTATTGCTTTGAGGTATTTGAGCCCTACTTGTTGATCGAACTCATCTAACATGGCTTTCACCCCTCCCTCTGCAGTCAAGTCATACCCTGTCAAGATAAGAGGCAGTGTATAAAGAAAAGCACACATTTTAACAACGTTATAATAGCAATAATAATATTTCTCACCTGCTGCAAAGGCATGACAGGTGTCCAGACACACTCCCATTCGACTCTGGTCTCTTACTTTGTCAATAATGGCCTTCAGCTCAGAGAACTTACCCCCCACAGTGCTACCTTGGCCACTCATATTCTCCAACACTGCAGGAGGAATACAGTATGTATATATTACAATACAATATGTAGTAAGTAAAGTAACTGAACTAACTAAAATCAAATGAAATATTGTTTAAAATATACCTGTAATGTAGAATAATATACAAATAATCTAAAGGTTACAAAGAAAATAGTTAAATAGTTTTAGTTTTATCATTTATCTTAGGCTAACATAAACTAAACAAGTCGAAGATATCTGTAGCTTACAGTTTATGTAATTAAGTTGATTTAAGAATTTGTTAATTAGCTTAATTGTATTCTGTTTTACAAAATCTGGACTTTACATGCTTTGTTGTCAGGACATGTTTTTTATGGGATAGAAACCTTCATAACACTGTATCAGAAGCAATACACTTTTCTATTGTGATAGGCCTACCCATGAATTTCAGATTTTTTTTAAAGAAAAAGGACTGACAATTGTAGATTGAGACGGAGCCCCTACCCAGAGTCTCAACCCAGCCATCTCCACCCCTCGTCCATCACCAATAAACTTCTTTCGCACTATGTCGTTCTTGGCGTGGTCCTTGCTAGTGAAAACATATATTTTGAATACTGATCACTACCTGTGACCACAGCGGGAGTTTGCTGGTGAGCGTGATTAATGGCTGTAGCTATTTTCTCCGTGCACTCTTCTGTGGTGATGGTGCCCAGGGAGGAGCCCGGATGGAAGTTATACAGGGTCAGGCCCAGGCGGCTGCAGCGGCTCAGCTCATCTACAAGCAGGGCCTGGCTCTTCTCAAACACATCTGAAGTCAACAAGACAATGAGCAGGGTCAGGAGAGTAAGTATAACACAATGACACATAGGCAGGAGTGGAAAAAGGACTGAAACATTGTTCTCAAGTAAAAGTACATTTACATGTAAAATGTGCTTGATTACAAGTAGCTTACAGGTAGTGATACTACATTTGTACTTGTAAAAGGTTTGATTGGGATGAGACACAATTCCCACAAGATGAGATAGAAACAAGATCAAATCAAAACATAATATACAAGTTTGTCCTCACCATCTGTTAATTTACATTCTGAAAACAGAATTCAGACTTTTTAGATTTGTACACTGCAAACTCTGCAAAAAGGTAATAAATACAGCAAGAACAAACCCTCTTTAGGTGAGCCACAGTTCATGAGGTAGGATCCATGGGGTAGGATATGAGCAGGGTCAAATGTATGAAGAGAACATTGCTCCCGAAACTTGTCTGCTGCAGAAGAGTCCAGCGCAGGTCTCTTCCAGGACCTCTGCGAGCCCAAAAACAGAGCAAAACTAGTGCCCCCCATAGCTACACAGGAGTCTACTGCCTTCCATATCCCACCTGAAAACAAGAAAAGAGTTTTAAGTTTTAACTGAAAGTAGGGCTGGGTGATAAAATTAAATGTAACCGTGATCTGATCCTTTCCTTTTTTCTGTTTAACGTAGATCTATGCAATCCTGTTGGCCAGCCTAAATGATTGATAGGTGAATTCAAACAATCATACAGAAGTGTGAACTCTCAGAAGCAGTACTTTTCCTCTTAATGGCATACAAAACGTTACTAAGTTCATGAACTGAAATCATTATTTTATTTATTTTTGCTATATCACCCACCCTTACCTGTCACACTTTTGGTTGTCTTGCACAGTGAGTTACATTTATAACCATAACCTATATAGAGGTAGAAACAGGGTGACTGAAGGTTTTGATAGAGAATAATTGCAAAGTACATTAGTTCTATATTGTTTATTTCTTGACATTTTTATTTAGTAACGCAGTTTTAGTTTGTGTAATAATGCAGCAGTCTTTGCTTGAATCGCTCTTTTCGCATGCGTATTAGATACTATATAATCTAGTTAACCATTACAATTCTCAAAATACGATTACGATTATTTCAGTAGTCGACTAGTCACAATGAATTAATCGATGCAGCTTGGTCACCCAAGTAGGCTTACCTTGAATGCCGACATGAGCCCCAATGTACTTTGAACAGCCTCTGATATTTCTCCTTCTAACTTCTCCACTCCTGGGCTCCTTTTCTGTGTCTCCATCTTCTCCGGGGTCTTCGGTTTTCCTTTTTCGTGTCTCTCTCTTCTTAGGAGCCATGAGGCCACTCTGTTTTGAAACAAGATTATAGATAGTCTTATGAGATGTTACAGCAGCAGAGAACCGCTATGGCGTTTCAATGTTCTCTTCCTTCTTCTCCACGGCTGTTACGCATAAGTTGACAGAGCTAGTGAAGGTCAGATCTGTGTTTTATGTCTCCCTCCCAACGGCAGGAGCCAGTCAGCGGGCTCCATGGGGCTCACACGGACTCACACGCAGCTGCACAAGAGTACACAGCCGTACACAGCCGTACACAGTCGTACACAGTCACACACAGCCACACACAGCCGTACACAGGCACACACAGGCACACACAGACACACACAGACACACACAGGCGCACACAGGCGCTTACAGCCCTACACAGGCGCACACAGCCGGGCCATTGGAGACAGCATCATCATGAGCAGCAAAATGGCCGCGCGTCAAAAGACTGACTCCACAGCGCTTTGAATTTTTCCATTTTTTCTGCACATTACGGTTTACACTATTACAACGTTAGTACTTATTTACGAACCTGTAGCTGGATGCGCGTATCTTTTCGTCGTCTGACACTTGACTTTCCGCTCAGGCTTCGCTGCTCTTGTAGCCTCGACGAATGCCTCAAAAAGCTATATAAATCGCACTGAAGCACTTTAGCCAAGCTAGCTAACACGCTAGCTCCTCTTCATATGTGATTCTTAAGGTGAGTACTTGCACGTCTATTAATTCAGTTTTTTACATTCATTAAACATTTTAGCATTCGATGCATGTTTAACACCAGTGGTGTTTGTAGATCGAGCTAAACACTTAGCGTTAGCCTTAGCTTCTCCCTGCTGTCAGAAACTTAGCCACCCTTGCTAACACTTGATAGCATTAGATAATTGCGCTAACCTTTCCATGATTGACTGAAATCTGGGTTGCCACATACATGCTATACACATCTACATTGATTTATGTTTAATATATCCTCCAAACCTAATTTGAACGTTAAATACAATTCGATAGCATTGCAAAGTTGAGTTATTGTATAGCGTTTAGTGCTTTTGAACCTGTCGAAACACTGCATTTCTTCTGTGTGTTAATATATATGCAGGGCTTCACTACTTATACAGTACGTTCAAGTGAACCTCTAATAGGTCGAAAGGTGATGAACACATTTTCCAAGACCACTGACACCTTAGTGGAGAGAAAACGAAACCGAACTCATCCAGATAGCATTGTTGAACTATAAACGGGAGTTCACTGCAAAACAGCTGTGGCTATGTGCGCTACAAGCTCATTTTGGATTTGTACGCTCTAGGAACTGTCACTTGATCTGTTACGAATGTGCCATTCTTTTAAATTATGCTGTTCAGTCATGGACTGAATAGTCAGCATGACTATTCAGAAGCCCGTGTCTAAGCCAAAACATTTACTGTATGGTCGTCGTCGTCCACCACTATTCTTGGGTCTCACGACTAAATCTATCAAGTGCTCCTCAATAATTGGATAAATACTGGTTGCGTAACTCCTGCATTGTTATCATCTGTTTCTTAATTAATGTGTCTTGTTATTTTTATTTTTTGCATATCCTTCAGAAGAAAGGAATATTGGGACTGGATCAGTAGTTCATGGACGACAAGAAAAGGAAAAAAGACGACAAAAGGAAAAGGGAAGCCTCTCAGAAGGTACCATCAAACAAACTACTTCTTTGCTTTTGATTTAAGTCTTTTACAGTTACTTATAACTGTACAATTTTTTTTTTCAGGTTATAGAACAAAAAAACAAAGGTGAGAAATTAGGCTATTTTTTCAGAATGTCATCTATCTGGTAGCCAGCTCTGAATTGTACTATAACCTTAACTGTTTGTTATCCAGTGCCAGACCTGACCAAGCCCACGTCTGCTCAGTCTCCTGCCACTCAGAGCAGCTCTGCCTCGCCTAGCCCTGGACCCACCCCCTCTGCTTCACCTTCGCCAGGCACCTCGGGCTCTGGTAGTGCTGCCCCCTCACAGGGTGGCAACAATGCCAAACGCCTGCTGGTGGCCAACGGACAGCCCGCCTCCACCTCCAGTTCTTCCTCCACCACAGGCGGTCCCAGTGCCACAGGAAACGGCACCTCAAGTAGCGGAGGTGGTGCCCAAACGCCTCAGCAACAACCGCGCTACATGCCGAGAGAAGTGCCGCCGCGATTCCGCTGCCAGCAGGACCATAAAGTGCTACTGAAGAGGGGTCAGCCGCCACTGTCCTCTATGCTGCTGGGAGGTGGTGGAGGGGATAGCCCTAATGCAAACTTGGCTGTTTCAGGTAGTTGTGTTAAAATACTATAACATATATAATGGCAAATTGTTGTTGTTTTATTCTTGTTTGATGCATGTAATTTTTTCTTTAATTTCTAGATTCTGGTGCAGCTGCCTCCTCATTAGCTCTCACCTCATCATCAGTTGCTGCTTCTACTACTTCTTCTAATTATGCAAATTCCATGTGGGGAGTGAGCTCAGGCAGCCAGGCCTCCTCTCAGGGCAGGGAGAAGGTCATTGTTGATGGGAACGATCTGGAGGAGTGGCCTAGCATCGCTGGCAGTGAAGGAGGCGGTAGCGGCGGCAGCAACAACGGGATGTCTGTGAACAGCACTAGTGCCTCTGGCAATCAGCCCTCACCCACTTCCTCTCTCTCTTTGCCCAATGAATGTATGCAGTCGTCCAGTGGTGCGGCATGGGGGACGGCTGCCTCCCAGGGTCATCTTGGAGGAGGGAGCGCAGTTGCTGTGTCTGGGCCCTCCTCTCTTTCCAAAGCTTCCACTGTGCCAGGGAGCCACGACGCCAGTGGCCCCACAGAGGGCAGTAGTGGAATTCCAGGTGCCAATTTAAATCCAAATGCCAACCCTTCAGCCTGGCCTGCCCTGGTGCAGCAGGACGGGCCTGCTGCTTCAGGAGAAGGAGGCCCGTCTTCCTTCCATCACCAGGGCCCTGGAGGGCCCTTGTCTGCCAACAACTCTGCTTCTCTGGGCCTTGGAGCCGGGGCCCTCGGGATGCTGGGGGGTCAGTCACCTTTATCTGTGAATCAATCAAGCACCCATCAGCATCAACTTCACCAAATGCAATCTAGAGACGGAAAGTGGGATAGTGAATCAGTGGGACCAAATACAGCAGGAGGAGAAGGACCTGGTGGGGTCATGGACCGCAGTGGCGTAGGAGGAGACCACAGCCTTGTTTCTTCTTGGAGAGGCCAGCCTTCTTTTCCTGCATCAAACTCCAAAACGGGTGCCTCAAGGACTGATGGCTGGGACACTGGTGGTGGCACAGGGGTGTTCGTAGCTGCTGAAGGGGATAATGGAACCTCGGGTTGGGGTTACCCAGGTTCAACAAGTGGGGTTAATGCCTGGGGGAATGTTGGGGGAAACACGAGTCAGACCTCTGGGGTATCTCAGGGAGGGTGGGGGTCAGAGAGAGGAGCGCCTAGTAGTGACTGGGGAGGGGGAGAGGTGAAGGGTGGAGCTGCCAGTAGCAACAGTGGAGTCGGTGCCACTGGCAACCCACCAGCCTGTGCTCCCTCATCTCTGTCTACAACTATGAGCAGAGCTTGGGACAATCAGAAGGGAGAGGGTGAATCAGGGGAGTGGGTGGGGGGACAGGGTGCACAGGGGGGATCTTCTTCCAGCGGTGGAAACTCCAGAGCTGGGAGTGCGCCTAACAGCAGTCATAGTCGTTCTCGCCGACAGGCACCAAATGCTGAAGCTGCCTTACAGAACCTTCTCAATCGTTCAGATCTAGACCCCAGGGTCCTATCAAACACAGGCTGGGGACAGACGCAAATCAGACAAAACACAACCTGGGATGTTGAAGATCATGGACAAAATAATAAGCTTGGATCAAAGCCCTCTTCTGGTGGTGGGTCTTCTCAGTTTCCTGGCCCCAGGTCGACCATCAGTGAATCTATGGTTTCATCTGCTGGTTCCTCTGGAGAGGGCTGGGAGAGCAGCAGCAACAGTAGCAGTAGTGGAGCCTCTATCTCTGGCAGAGGCCCACCCACATCAGGCCCCAGCATAAGAAATGTCAACATGGCACAACCTGGGCCAGTGTCTTCATCAGGGCCTGCTGTAGGCCCTGGGGTCGTGTCAGGACCAACCCAGCAGGCAACGGCTACAGGCTGGGGAAGAGCAGGGACAGGGGAGAGCCAGGAAGCCAAAGGGTGGGGAAATGAAGAGTGGAGAGATGCCAGACCAGGAAATGGAGGAGGCTGGGGTGATATTGGTCAGCAGGGTGAGCCGCTGGGGGGTGGCTGGGGAGAAGGTCAGGAAGAAAAAGGGACAGGTAGTTGGAAAGAACTGGGAGGGGATGCACGTGGAAGTGGGTGGGGATCTGGACAAAAGGTGAGGACAGGTAGAGACTGGGGTGAGCAAGAGCGCAAATCAAATGGAGGTGGATGGGAGGACGAGAGGAAAAATGGGCCAGGAAACTCAGGTGGGGATTCGGGTGTGGGTGGTTGGGGAAGCTGGGATGAAAGTGGCCCCAGAAGAACTTGGGGTGCAGGTGGTACAGGGGGTGGAGGTAGTGCTGGAGGTGGGATGGGGGTCATTGGTTCCAAATCTCAAGGTTGGAGTGGAGGAAACAAAATGCATCAAATGCCAAACAGCCAGTCGGGTCCAGTCCCAGGCCCACAGGCACAACTGCAACAGCAACAATCACAGCCCCGCAATCAGCACCCACAGCAAGCGTCGGACCAAGGGGTTATGCAAGGGGCCATGGGGCGCAAACCCATGCCTCCAGCCCACAACCAAAGCTCAGGCTGGACTTCAGGTCCCATTCCTACTGGTCCAGCAGGAAGTGGTCCTGAACCCAGTGGTTGGGATGAACCATCACCGCAGTCTATCAGCAGAAAGGGTGACATTGATGATGGGACCTCAGCTTGGGGAGATCCAACTAATTACAATTATAAGCCGGTCAACCTGTGGGACAAGAACAATCCTCCTAATGGCCCACAACCTCAAAGTCAGGGTCAGACTCCCCATCAGCCACAAGGACCAACAGGCCAGCAGCAGTCAAACAGACCGCCCCCCTCGCTCGGGGCCAACTTCAGCACTGCCCATGGGCCAGGAAAAGCACCTGCTTTAGGTCAGTACCTTTAGCGATGTGATTATCACACTGTATAACCATTTCAAAGGACTTAGAACTTCCTGGGTAATTAGAACATTTTTTCCACACTTGGTATTTTACGTTCTGTGTTATGAATGTTTGTCTGCTTTATCCTTTGTTGCTCAGGTCCTTCAGGTTGGGGAAGTACATCTCCTACTAGTCCAACAGTCGACAATGGCACTGCAGCATGGGGAAAGCCTACTGAT